CGACCACGACACACCGCCCAGCTCACACCACGCTGGCGTGGCAGAGGCCCAGGGTGGCACAAGGACCCAGGGACAGAAAGCAGGTCCCGGGAGCACCCAGAGCTCCTGCTCTGCCCCAGCGTGTCCTGGGAATGTCCCCTCTGCCCCCAGGCTCAGACCCTCGTGGCCTGACCAGAGGCAGCACCGACAGGCACATTTGCTGATGGCCCCAGCACCGCCCCACTCCCACGCATCCCACGACATGTCCCCATGGGCTCAGCTATCCCGGGGTGTGGGCACCCACCTCCCCACGGCTCCCGGGCATGGGGCAGCCCCTCGCCAGCCCCTCTCCCGCCTGTGCCCCGGGCAGGTGAAATGGCTCAGATGAAGTGAGCGATGAAAGGGCCCGTGACTCGAGTGGGATTCAAAAACCTCTTTGCCACAACCAGGCTCTTCCCTTCTGGAAAGCTGCTTACCCAGGTGCTTCCCTTCCTCCCTGCAGCGCAGCCTTCAACTGCTGTGGGGGCATTTTGCAATCTTTTACCCGATTTCCACACTTGCAGCGCAATTTCGGATTTTACAGACGTCCCTCCTGCCGCCAAGTCCCGGCTTTTAATTTCTGGCGTGGATCGGCAGCAAGGAGCCCGGAGCATCCCTGCCACGGGGCAATCCTCACCCTCCCTCGGCCGAGAAAAAACATTCCTCGTAACCCCCGCCCAGCGCGGCAGGCTGCGACCCGGGGGACGCGCATCCCTCCACGCTCCCATCGTGGCGTGCGTGGGAGCTCCCGAATCCCCGCGACACGTACCCGGCAGCAGCTCCGCACAAACCCAACCAACACACCCCCAACAGCTCGCAGGAACCTTGCAACAAACCCCGGCATCATCTGCCGCTGCTACCCCCGGGGGGTGCTTGCCTGGGAGGGACAGGTTTATATTATGTCAAGATTTAAAAAGGCTAAAAACAAACCCAAAAGACAACTGCCAGTCATGCTGATAACTAGCGCTGCCACCCCCCCGAGGCC